TGTCTGTATTCAACAATATTTTACAAATTGCAAGTATTTGTGTCTAATTGCATGCTAATGTTTAAGTTCTTTTCCACAAATCACTTTAAATGAAATATCAAAATAATTTCGGTGACTGTTAAAACTTCGGTGCATTCAGATATTTATACTTTACTTGGATAATTTTAGTCTTTCTCTTTTGTTTCTAATTCAATAGAGCAACATAAATAAAAGACAGGAAAGACTTTTTACATTGCCTATTTTTGGTCTGTCTTGTAGAATATTTTCTTCTCTCTCCAGAGCTTTGTCCATTCATATTTTAAATAAGTCAGGCAAATGAGAGTAACTCTGTAATGCCGACAGCAGCAGAAGATTATTTCAAAATCCACTAAGCTGATCTGTTACACCATATTTTAACACCTGAACGTATTGGTTTCTTTGCTGATTTTATTTTTATTACATCTGCTTATTGCAGATTTTAAGTCTCATAAACTTCTAATTTTTTTTATAAATTAGGCTCCCCAGGAGTTAATAGATAACTGTCAAAGCCACCTTAATAGCTTTTGGCTATAAAATAAATTAAAAGATAATACAGTATGTTCCTTTGTATAATTTATGTTTTATACAGGTATTAATAGATAAATATTATATATATATATATATATATATATATATATATATATATGTATTACATAATGTAAACATATGAAAATAAAAATATAATGGAAAGTTTTCTAAGAGGACTGCATCTTGATAATCCTTGGTTGACTGATTGATTTCTCCTCTGTCTAAAACCCTTAGAAAGATTGGAAATTTTGAATTCTAATTCTTGGACATTTAAGTGCTTTTGACATTAATGAAAAAAAGAAAGAAAGAAATGCAAAAATTATTTTTGCATGAATTTATATCTGTCTGTAATGCCCTCATGTAAGGATGATATCAATCATAATTAATTTTTAAAAGCTTTTTTGTCCAGTCTTCACTGAAGGCTGACCAAATGCAGTGCCTTGTCCATTTGCATTTTAGGTAGTAACAGGAAGAAAACAGAAACACAGTTAAGCCTTACAGAGGTTTATTTTCAGTTAAATTGAAATAGGACTTATTGATTAAGGAAGCACTCTACAGTGTAATACGTGCATGTCATTAAAAAATATTTTTAATTGGACATAATTGTGTTCAGTACACCAGATTTCCACACACTTGTATTTGGTAATATTATACAAAACCTGGGGTATTTGTTTCCAGACATAAAAATTAGTTCAAATTAAATTAAGAGTAGGCCAAATATCAGTTGCTTATAGCAAAGATATTTTTATTTTTCTGTTGTAGCAACCTTAGACTTGAAGTCAACACCCACATAGCATCCACTAGGTTCACAGGTTATGCATAGCTGAAGAGAGACCTTCTCTTTGACATTTCTGTCTGTAGCAGCAGATGCATTTATATGTGTCAGTTTAATTTAATCAGTTTAAAATAAAGTGAGATTAAATTACAATTTGCTCTTAGTGGTAGTGCACTACGGATGAGTTTTTCTGGTTTTCTCATCCAGAAGATGTTTCTCTTTCCTACAAACCTGGTCCTTTCAACTTCAATAGCCAAGTGCCATTACAACCAAAAAAACAGTTTTGCTTGATACAGTTCAAGGATGTAGGGGTGATTTTCCAATTCCAGTTGGAGACATTACACTTTATCTTCTGCAGAGTAGGAGCTGTACATCAGTTGATTTCCATTCCATAAACCTAGCACTGGAAAAAGAAATACGGTATGTTGCTTTTGCCAAAATAAATGAGACTATAAAAAGGAGAAAAAAAAAAATTGGATGCCTTGTTAAATATTCAAAAAAAAAAGAGATGTTCATATGTCAAATCCAACATCTTCAAACTACTTGGGCTATTTTTGTGCGTCCTTCTCAGCTTAATTTCAGTGTGTCAGGTTCTTCCCTCTGATCACTGACCATGTTTTTAAGCCTGGCTGTCATTAGTGTTGAAACACACTTTTAGGTATTCACTGCTGATTGTGCTACAAGTTCTCAAGTCACAGAATTCAGACTTAGTTTTGTAAGGGTTTTGCTGCATGTTTCCTCATTAAATTACTGCCAGGCTTTTGAAGAATAGCAGTGTATTCTGATTATTGTGGGCAATGCACAGAGGAAGAAACGCTGTTGAGCAATGCAAACATTTTCTTAGCTGAAACTTGTGGCTTGAAGTGTTTTGCTCATGCAAGCAAGAGATGTGTGTGTACTCAGTAAAAGAAAACTTGAGGATGAAATAGCCAAGCTCCTAGCTGCACTGTGTAATCCTTCACTTAAACCTGCCTGAGTACTGCAGGATTGCCCTGCAGAAGTATTTAAAAAAAAATGTTTCAGGGAAGATCAGAAAAATATTAACTGATAAATCTGGTGTCTGTATAAGGTGAATTAGTTATTATACAGAATGCAGTTAGTGAACATGTGAATAAATGCAACATATCCAGGAAGAGTTGACATAGCTGTTATGAGAGGTTGTACTTCAGTACTTTGGAGAAGTCAGGAAGCAATAAAGAAGACCTGGTCAATACAGTCTGTTGGGATTTCCAGGAAGCATTTCCCACATGGGAAGGTGATTTTTTAAAGAGGAAAGAATCCTGAACTGCAGGATTCCTTGCCACAGGATGTATGGATGTTGTTTTGTGGGCTACAAGACTGATCATAAGAACTTATGAGTGTACAGAGGCATAAACCCCAGTTTAGAAAATGCTTGGGCACATTTTTCATGTGAGGAAAATGTTCTGGAAAAGTATTGTTACATTTTCACTGGTTCTCATGGCCTTTCTTTATCTCCCACTGCTGAGTACTGATAGAAACTGCATAGTGGGTCTTTTCTCTAAGCCACTGTGTTCTCGTAAGGGTGCAGTTCCACACATGGAAGTTTCCAGAAAATATGGTCATTGGAGTTTTCAAATGGCATACCTTCTATGTTTGATAGATGAACTGTGGTAGTATATGACTGCAGTATAATATATAACTTCAGTATAACACTCTTGTCAAAATATTTGGTTTTTCAGAGAGATGTCTGCTAACCTGGGGACAGATTTTGCCAGTGTTTTCTAATGGTCTTTAGTGGCACTTCTATGAAAGCATTCTCTGTTGATTTTCTTCTCTTTTTCAGTTTTACATGAAGCACTGGAAATAGCAAAATATGGTTGTGACTTTACAAACAGTGGCAAAATATTCAAATGAACTTACATTATTCTAATGTAATGGAAGGTTTTCAGTATTTTTTGCACTACTTCAAGTCTATAACATTTTGTGTGGAGGTACAAAAATCTATAATTACTATAGTTTTTCCTATTGAAAAATGTATTCAGAAAGTTTCTGACTATCCATACTTTTTATTATAGTGATATTTTAAAAGGTGTCTGAAAAAAAGTATGAAGTTTATTTTCTGCTATATATTTATATTTTGCAAAATGAGGACTTCTTTTCAAGAGATGTGCTGGAAAGAGACCAGGAAATTGGCATTGTCCTACAAATATCAGTGAAACCATAAAGAAACTATGCAGGTGCTTTTATCATACATTCAATATGTCAGTAACAAAATTCAGTTAATATTTTGGAAAACTGCTGCAAGAAAGAAATTATGCACTACTTACCCTTCCTCAGCTTCTGAGAATGTTTCTGGTGTCTTTTGGCTCATTTTGTTTGCTAATCAAGTCCACGTAGATAATTAAAATAATCCAAATATCCTCACTGCTGTACACCAGCAATACAGTTCTTTGCAGAACCACTGGAAGGTGAGGTGGGCTCTTTTTCTCTTCTTCTAGATCTCCTTTACATGCTGATTAGCTAAGATCAATATCTTGTATATCAAGACCTACCAGCTCTTTGTAATTTCTCTTTTTTTTTTTTTTTCTCCCCTGACATTTGGGAATGTAGCATGTACAAAACAGCCCCATAGCTGCTGAAAAATCAACTCTTTAAAGATAGACACATTACTTGGAATAAGTCACTCCTTCATCTTCCCTTTCAACAGCTGACTTATAATTGGAGTTAAAAACTGTATGAACCTCCTACGCCTTGATGATATGCAGGTGGCTGACTTCTACACCAGAAACCTTGGCCTTTTTTCTTAAACTGATACTTTAGCTGCTAAAATTCCTGTTAATAAATCCCAGCTTGACTTCCTGAGTCCATATTTCTGAAAAGTGCTATAGTCCATGGTGACCAGGATACCAGTGATTTTTATCTTTGGTGTCATTGTCATGTCATGACAAAACCTTCCCAGCCAGTTCAGATCCCTTGTTGTTTCTCCTACATACCTTTTTTCAGTTCATTCAGAACTTCCATATCCTCTTTCTTTTAATAAAGATTCAAATTTTTCTTTTAATTCCTTATCACCTTTTTAACTCTTTCTTTATTTTTTACTGGAAAAGTGTTTGTGAAGAAAAAGTGAAAGTGACACACAGTGTTGCTCTTACATCACCAATATGAACAGTGAGAAAAAAATGGAATTTTAGAATATAATTATAGAATGCATGGCATGAGATTTCCTGCAGGGTTTTCTAAAACTATGTCTTATTGACTCACAAAATGTCCTGTTAATCTCAGTGCTGTCTTTGTAGTATTATTTTCCTGGGAAAAAAAGTGTTAGTAGTATGAAGTCAGTTATTTTCTCTGAAAAGTGAGATAGAATTGTTTTTATTTTGCATTTATTTCAATTTTATTCATTGATCCTTGCTTCTTCTGGAAAAAGTAATTAAAAGAATTTTTATAGATTATGCCTGCTAATTGGTCTATTTATCTTGATTCATAGAAAAATATATGGGAAAATATTTATACCTGTGTGTTTGTGTGTGTTTGCACATGCATGTACTTCCATTTTGAAGAGACAGCTTTTTCATTGTTGAGAATTATGAAATATAATGTCATTTACAAAGTGCATGAGAACTTGTCAAAACTCAATTTCAGCATTATTCAGTGTGTGCATGGAGCTGAGGCTGCCATCTGCAGAGCTGTGTATTTCATGCCTTTCATGTCTTTCCAGCGCTGATAGCCATTGGGAGGTATAGCATGACAATAGAGACGGTGGATGTTGGATGGTGCAAAGAGATCACGGACCGTGGAGCCACCCAGATTGCTCAGCGCAGCAAATCCCTCCGATACTTGGGACTGATGAGATGTGATCAGGTAAGGAGCCTTTGCCTGAGCTGGTGCCTGATTCTGAGTATGATAGTGTTCCTGTGTGTGTGAGGGAGGCAGCAGGATTTATGTTTTTCTGAACAAAAATGTTCAGTATTCACTACTGTAGCAACTGTTCTGGTGTGCTGTGTTCACATTGGCAGCTCAAAAGGCACACAGAGGACTAGAAGGAGCAGTATAAATGTTTGCTGATGTAGATTTTCAAAATACATTTGTAGGTTACACTTGCAGCCTGAGGTGCTCGCAAGTTTTTTGTAAACCTGCCCTCTGACAGTTTTGAATACTTTTGTCTGAAAGTGGTTGGCATGTCATGTTGTAACTGTGACAGACTACTTTGTTTCTTAAAAAGAAAGGAAAAAAATCTTCAGCATAAGTTCAAGAGTGATTTAGCAGTTTTCTGTATCTGTGCTCTTGATCATATATCATCGTTTTGAAAACAAAGGAGAAAGATTTGAATAAAACTATAATGCTAAAAAGAGAAAAAAATACTGAGTTTCTTACTGTGTAGCTTTATACTTGGAGAATAGTAAGAATGTCTATAAGTTTTAGCACTTTATCATTAGAAAAAAAAGGAGAAGGCAGTCCATCTCCACTTCACCCCGTATATAACCTTCAGAAATCATGTTCCTGTTTAGAAGAGAGATCAAGAGGTCCAGGAACACAGCAGAAATAGCTAAAACAAAAATCATTGGAGGTCCAGAGTCTCTGACCTGAAGTCTTCACATAACCCTCCAGGGATTGTTTCTTTTCCAGCCATCATCAACAAAATGTCTGTCTTGTGATGCCCATCATAAGCATTTCTCAGGCTTGTGGATTGGATACACTCTATAGAAAAACAGGTTTTAGTCTAAGAAACTTCATGCTCCAAACCATTACCTTGCATCCTTCACAGTGCGCTATAGAAGACAGTGACAAAACACAGTATTTCAAATGGCAAGGCATAATAATGTTCAGGTCAGTGGTAAAATTAGAAATAGCATTTTGCAAAGCCAGCCTTAGGCAGTTTCCAGTTTGCAAGGAGGTTGAGCACTTTGGAAGAATTGCTCTGTCTATCAAAGCTGAGTCCACTTAATCTCCTAAACATTAGTGTTTTATAAGAGCCAACAGACAAAAAGAGTGTGTGAATCTCTTTGATGGATTGTGCTAAGATTATGCACTTAGAGAATGTTAAAAGGGTACTTGACCTTGGGAATTAGACCTGACCTGGAATCATCTAACCACTTCTGCACATGTATTTATTTTGTGAATTTAGCTAATATTGGACAATCAACAAGGATCTAATAAGTGCAATAATTTTATCCTGTCTTTAACTGCTATAGAAAATCAATGATCTTGATGTTGAAAACAAGCTTTGCTGCCTCATAAGTTAAACTATATGTCATTTTTGTAGACATGTACTACAGTCTGTACTCCTTTAATTGCTGGTAAACACTTTTCTCATTCTTGAGAGGATTGTACAACATCTTTTGTGTTACAAAAGTCAACTGCTAAAAAGAAAAAAAAAATATTACTTAAGAAAGCTTCAGGGAAGATATAAAAGCACTGTTGACTATGTGCCTCCAAGTGTGTGTGTGAATCTGCAAGTATCCAAAGTATGGCAGCTAAAAGATGTTAAGAAATATGTAAACACTGTTACAGCGAACATTGTAGTAGTGGGACTACCACTGGTAATTATTTTCTTGTTTGCAAAGCCTTGATGGGAAGAATAGCTCCACAGACAGAATGAAGTAAGTATCTTTGACTTAAGGGATTTTTGGCAGCTAGAAGAAGCCAACTCCCTTTTTCCACTGCAAACGAACAGAGAAATTTTGAACAAAATTGTGTTCTCAACTGTCTCTCCCCAGTATCATGCAGAACTAATTTTTTCCAGGGGCTGTTCTATTAAATTTAAAATGTCAGTGTCCAGCACATCATTAAAGAGAATTCTTGGGTGGTGCAGAAGGGTTTCTTTACACTCCCGGTTGGCCAAAAGTCTTGTCTTTGTACTGTTGTCAGCTTGCAATGAAGAGAAAGTTTGAAGATTTGTCCCATCTAACCAGGCTTCCTTTTCTGAGGTGCTGACTGTTATGCTCATACCAGGTAGCTTTTATGCCTTTCTAAGAATTCCCAGGCATTTGGAAGGGAAGTACTTAAACACAGTTACATAAGGAACATATGTAAGTAGACTTCAAATGGGTACCACTAAAACACTCTTTATGAGTCAGGCTTTTTGGAATTTCTTTGATATGCACTTGACATAAATTAGAGGCATCAAGGGTCCGCCCCAGAAAGATCAAGAGAGGCTGTGAGCCTGGGTAAAGGCAGTCTCTGTTTTATGTCATTGATTATCCAAGTGCCTCCAGGCAATGTGTTTCAGTAGATGCAAAGCATTATTGATCCACACCATGAAAATAATCAAATTATTCATTTTTCATCAAACTGCTATTGCCGTGACCTTTCTTTTTATCATTTTTCCTACCATCTTACATGCACACCACAGAAGCAATATGGTCTTTGCCTTAAAATAGATGACATTGTGTTGAGAAATATCATTTAAAAATGCTGACTTTACTATGAGGTCATCATAATGAGAGCATGTATTTCAGTTGGAACTTTTCTGTGTCAGATGGAATACATCTGAGAGACTGTCATCCAGACCTCCTGAAGTGTGAAAGTGATCTAGAGTAGACTGTTTTTAAATACCTACGTTCTGGACAACAGAATTCCCCACTTGTCTGCATACTAACATGAACAGGTACTTAAAGTAGCTAGGCCCCTTCTCCCTTCTGATCTCTCTCACAGGACAGGGTATTGACTGTGCAAATAAATGTTTGTGTACATGGGTATGTGTACGTCTGTGCAGGCACCAGGCATCACTCAGGACTGTACAAGTCATATGTTGTTCCATAGAAAGAAAATGTTTCCATTCTGAGTCTCCATTTCTTTTGAAAGCGGTAACAGATAAAATCAGTAGTTATTTAAGGCCTAAGCAGGACGTTTTAGAGGTTTGGAATTGGAAAAGGCATGAAAGAGAAGGCATTTCTGTTTTACATTCTGGTGTTCTGCCTGTGTTTGCACTGTGCCACGCTTCCAGGGGTAGCAAGCCAGGCTTTGTTCCTTCTTGTCACCTCTTCACAGTCTTGGAGCAGGGTGCAACCACAAGCTTCCCATTTCTCTGCACAGAGGAGTGCTGTGCTGCTGGGGGCTGCAGCCCAAGGTTGTGTTTTAGGACTTGATGTGGCTGTGTGGGAGCACAAGGCAGGTTGGTGCTGCTTCAGAGCCCAGCATCTCTTGGTTTGTCACCTCGGAAGCACCAAGAAAAGCATAACAAGGGCTATATTAAATTCACTTCAGGTTAGTTCCCCACAGCGGATTGAGAACATGACCGTTCGTTCTTCCAACCAACTTTTAATTGTAGCTTTGTATTTTTTATCACAGCTTAGGAAAGAGGATATTTTAAAGATAATTGAACCTTTCCTTTAATTACTTTAAGTATCTTAAGAAAGGTGTGGGCAGTTACAGGATACTTTCTTTTCTCCCACAAGCACTGATGTCAGAATTCCTAAGAGCTTTTCTTGCATCCTAAGGGCATAAAATGATGTCTGCATCAACCTAACAGATTTAAATAGACATTTCAAACTTTTCTTTCTGAACACAGTGTACTGTACATTCCTGTCATTACACTGACCTAGATACTATTCACTTTTTCTAGTTAATGAATTAATTAATTGATTTTGTATATTTTATATTTGATATTTTAAAAAATGGAGGAAAAGGGTGATGTTTTCCATACTATTTATTTCTAGAAATCATTTGAAAGGTGTCTTTATAGCACTTCTTTCTTGTGCTCTCACAAGAAGTGAAACAGCTTTAAATGGTGGCATTTTGAAATCTTTACCCTTGGGGGAAATAGCTGGGTATCAGCTAGGAAATAGGGACTAAAAATTTGTTGGTTTTTGGGTGTTTTTTTTTTTTTTTTTTTTTTTTTTTTTTTTTTTTTTTGTTTTTTTTTTTCTGGGTGATAGTTTGACTAGTTGAACAATGTGTCACAATAATCTTCCTGCAACTTTTCTCACACACAATTTTCATATTTCAAGATCCTTTTCCTATAACTGTGGTGCAATTTGTAGCAGTTATCAAGTGTTCCCACATAAATGCAGGAGATATTTCATGGGAAAACAGGCAGAAAAATGACACTGAAAAACAGAGGCCACAAAATTCAATATTCACCACTATGTGTGAATGAAATTAAATGTAGAGAGTCCAACAAAGCTGGCTGTGAAAGGATGCACAACTTAGTTAATAAATCATGTTGGGGCTTATTCCTTGCTCTTTTTTTTTCCTTGTTTGTTTTTTTTTTTCTTTCCATTTTTTGAGATGAATTTCTCAGAAAAGACATGGTTGCTTTTCGTGAAAATACTTCTGAAAGCCTGTAGCTTATTCCAGAAGACTTTCTGAGATAAATTGTAGCATATTTTTCCTATTCTAGTTTTGCTGAGATATTAGAGCACAGAAGTTGATGGTCAGTACAACTGACAAAATGACAAACTATTTTATGTTCCCAGAGGAAGAAAGATAGATGATCCCTAAAAATAAAAAGTGGTTGGTTAAGACATCATTTGCATCTTAAGTAAGAATAAGATTTTTAGACTATATATGGATTTTAAATATAATTTATCACTTTTTCCTTCTACAAAACCTGTTTTACAAATATTTGTAAATGCATATTAAATGAAGACCACAAATTATTAGCAGAGTTAGGAATGCAGCTCCTGTTGTTTAAGAGAAACATTTTTACCCATCACTCACAGCTTTTAATTTACACGGCTAGTCTGCAACTGAAGGTAAGTGAAAAAGAGCATTAGCTCTTTTACATATCCTAGGTTCTAGAGATACATCTTTCGGTTTCCAATATATTTTTGAACTTAACTGTTCTTAATCAATGGCAGAATAGTGAGAATACAGAGCCATGGCTTGTTTTAATGTAATTATCACAGCAATTTGCCTTC